TTGTAACTTGACTGCCAATGGCTTTGACTGTCATTGTCAGGCTGGGTTTGAAGGAGCACTGTGCCAGACTAATATTGATGATTGCGTTAACCATCAGTGTCTGCATGGAGCAAGCTGTGTTGATCAGGTGAGATGGCATCTTGTGGACAATTAACATGGCCCATACATGTGCATGTATGTGTACTTCACTATAGCTTCTAGCTTTTTATTACAAACAACATTGTATTTTGTGAGAAATCTCCTGCTTTAGTTTATCTGTTACATGACCGAGGATTGCTTCCACTTATAACACTTTTCTATGAAGCCCTTTTCCTATTCTGATGGTACATATTTAAGATAAAATAGTCTTTCCTGATCATTCTCACCCTTAGAACTCCACTTGTGCCATATATGGATAAATTTGACCAACTCCAAAATTTGAAGCACCGTTATAAGCACAGTTTGAGGTATCCATCAACTAAACTGCGGCTTGAACAATCAGAAAGTTAATCTTTGTACATGTATATTAAAACGTCAGATATCTAAAATTAAAACTACAAATGACAATCCTTTAACTTCAGTGGGGCAAAATTTGTGCCAAGGTGGATCGGGAATGGCATAAATAAAAAAAAATGCTTAGCCATGAAAATGTTAAAGGCGGTGGGTACTGACACTATGGGACAGTAGGGGGCGCTGTTCATGATAATGATGTACACATTTAATATATTTACTTACACCCCGGAACTTTACCTCAAAACAGTGTATTTGTAGCTTATTTTGCTCTGTTTTCATCTCTAAGGGATATGTTTTAGTTGTTTGGGAGCCCCCAAATTCCTCAAAATCTGCCTTCGTTTTTTTCTCACCGTGAAAAAGTGTGGGGATGGTTCAATTGCCCATCCTGGAGTGCTCAAAAAATAGGAGGGAATATATATTGAGATTTGTGTGCCTGATTTAATTCTTTTTGGCTTACTTCTTTTTTTTTCAGACTTTCAAACACTCACCAAGTCCAAAAATGCTGGATTTCTTTTTATTCCTTGCCGTACCTCCTGCTCTCTCAAAGGTAAAGCTTTGGCCTGATCCCCAGCTGTAGTGTCATTTTCCACAGACCTTACCTTTCT